TAATTTACTACCGAAAATGTTTGAGGTAGGTAAATATTTACTTTTACGAGTGAATGTTTACCGTTTGATGTTTAAAAGTGTTTCGTAAGAATTGTGAGGTGGATGCATAATAAATTTAATATATTAGTGCGCAATAGAAATGTGTACTCTACTTTGGAATATGTAACTGCAAACTACTACTTTACTATGTAATATCGTAGGGTAAAAAAACAACTCCTTACGTACAAGAGATAAGCTAGTTATAGATTTGTAGTATACAATAATTTTCAAAATTAATATAATTAACTTTCATACCATGTAACAAAGCTCTTAAAGTATTTCTTGAAAAGGCTCACATAGTGTTTCTAAAGGTACGAAAGAATAAATACACTTCTCCCTTCAAACATATTTTATCTGCAGTATGACGAGTCTTCCAATTAGTAAATAATTAAAAACATTACCTATTAAAGCCCTGTATAAGTTTCCTACATCTGCAAAAGACTCAAATACTCTCAAAGTTTCCCTCAACTTCAGCCAATTCTATTTTCCAGGAATAAAAATAACCACCTCAAATCGTATTGAAAACCACCGTTTTCACTACATGGTGACGATAAATCCAACAAGAACAATAAAGAACCTCTCTACTACAATTTCCAACTACAGAAGACATACAAAGTTGCCACTGGTCTGTTTCGCCAGATCAGCAACGTCTATTAATTCTGCTATCGCTTCGTTAGTATTGTCTGTTGGTTTGTTATTGTGCTGTCAGGACCAAGTATTTACTGCCTTCCCGCTAACTTATTATGTCCCAATAAAACCCACAGAAGAGCTTTGTCCCACGGCCACTCAGGTTATATGGCTGCTTTACAACTTAATAAGAGGCCCTGGCTAGTATCTAACCTGCAGACGCGCAGGCCAAGTGGGGTAAGAAAGCGAAGGGGTTTTACAAGAGTGCAATAGTATGTTTCATTCCTGTGGGCGATTGTATTTTCTTCGACTTTAGCAGCTACCAAGGCGAAGCTGACGTTAGCTAATAAGCAAAGTTAAATTATCTTTAGCTAAATAGATTAACTACATTTTTCTGCATACAAAATTGTTAAGCTAATTAACTCACAAACCGAAAATGACTTACATTGGTAACCTTTGTGAATAATCTCTAATTATGGTCTAACGGAGTGATGGAATGGTAACTAAGGAGGTTTTCCTTAAGTCTTCGCTCCCTAGTATTTTAAATATTTCTAGAATTATCTTTCTCTGACGAGTGATTCTAACCAACTTTCTTTATCACGTCATACAAATTGACCGCCGATCCTTCATTTTAAAGTGTAACTACAGCAAGATTGTAAATACGAGTTGAAACAGTTAGTTAAAATTAATTTCAAATAGGCTAATTTTATTTAGGATTGCATCCTGATTTAGGTAGGTTACCTCCTTATGGTGAGGATCTACAATGAAAAATCTTATTTCTTGTACATTAGCAGACTTATTCATTTAATAACTCCCTCAATTGAACACAATCTTTGAAAGGTAAGAAAGAGGGTATTGGATTTTTCGTTTTACCTTGCAACAAGTTGTTAGCCCTGTTGAAATGCCCAATTTGCACACTCGTTTTGCCATATTTTCAAAATAACTCTAATCATGACGTAACTTATCTTACCTCTCTATATCAAAGTTGTTTAACAAACTTAATTATTGAATTACAAATTATAATTCTTGTGCATTAGTAATAATGAAGTACGGCTTCTTTAACCAGGGTCAATTTTGGTTATCGGTTCTCAACAGTAGTTTATATGTCCTTATCGTTCAAGTTAATGATTAATTATTGATCATTGCAGTTTTAACAAACAACCTTCTCTAAATAATCAGCTGATTTGCAAACCTTTACGATATTTTAATCATCTCTTATCCTTCTCCCATCTTAGACTTAAACGTTCAATGGCGTGTCCCCGCGATAAAATTATAAGACGGTTGGCCTAGTTGCATACAATATAATATATCCAATATGTAGCCTATAACCGCTTGCACTTAAAACGTCAAATTTATTGGAAAAAAGATAAATGTTTCAAACTGACGAGGTGGTGATATAATATGATATGATTATGATTTTTGATCAAAACAAATATTTTTTCGATCACTTCCAACTGAAACGTTAAATTTCCAAGTACTGTAAGTTTAAATTAAACAGCTGGTCTTAGCGTCTTAGTCACAAAGCTACACAAGACATCTTTTCTTTATACACAATTCTTTCGCTCATATTTGGGTTAAAGTACGCACCTACAAAGGTGTCCGCATCTAAACTTGTATTAAAAAAAGTTAAATAAACAAGAACAAAGTTTCTTACTAACAAGAACGATTATTTCTTACTAACAAGGAGTCATTCGACTATAAGATAACTAATACTTGTCAGTACCCCATCTTACGTTATTTTTGATAAGAAAGTTGATGAAACTGGTTTTATTTCTAGATCAAAATGTTTGAATCTCTAGATAAAATATCTGACGTTATTCCCAGATAAGAAAAGTTTCTGATTTTCAGATAAAACTTGTGTTATCTTCGGATAACTATAATCAGATACAACTAACGTTATCTACAGATAACTATCATCAGATACAACTAACGTTATATCCAGATAACTGTCATCAGATACAACTAACGTTATCTCCAGATAACTATCATCAGATACAACTACTGTTATCTTCGGATAACTATCATCAGATACAACTACTGTTATCTTCGGATAACTATCATCAGATACAACTAACGTTATCTCCAGATATCGTTGACGTTACTCAGATGCAATATCTTTCTAGTTAAATCCACAAAACCAAAATGAATAACAATTATTTCTAACGAACGAGGAGTTATTTGTCGGTCCCTAACTAGCGGCCTTCACCCACGCTTTCCAAAATCGTTCGTTAGTATTTCGATAATCAGCTGTAAATTATTATCGGACGATATCATAATTTCACATTATTTTCTCGGAAAAGCTGACATGCTAGTTGTGTAACAGCCAGGTGATTGGGAGAAATAATAGAGATGTAAGTTGTAATTTATGGGCTGTGGGACACTAATTCGTGGTTATCGTTAAAAAATTAGAACCGTTATTGTGTTGGTATTTTTTTGTTTGTATTTTGTTTGAAAACAAAAAAGTGTTGATGGAGGGATAGTAGAAAATTCATGTTCATGCGGATGTTGTTAAAATTTTCTCAGTAAAACATTACTAATAAGTAGCAAGTTTATAATTAGTCTTATTGGAATCATTCGCGTTTTGAATAAATTAATTATTAATAAGTTGTTATTTGAATAATTAATATAGTTTTATAACAGTAAAATTTACATCAACAGATGTTCTAAAATATTTGTATTCAACTCAACTAAATTATTCAGATAATATATTGGCAAATGAAAATATCAGTTATATTTAAGAGTGTAGTAAACAATTAAATTCAAATTTTTAAGATGTAATTCACATGCTAAGAAGATATTTTTCCGGCTTTGTTCAGTCCACCTATTACAAACTCATCTCCATAAAGTGTCTATTTTCGACACTTTTTTAAGCATAACTACAAGTTATTTCACGTTACCTCTTAAACTTTTTTCATTGGACTTATTCTTGAGCTAGAATTAAAAACCATTTCAACCCGTTTTAATAAGCTTTATTTGAAGTTAATTTACGAATTAATAGTATGTTTCATCACTAGGGTGTAGTAAAGTGACTCTTTTCGACCCGAGCGAGGATTGAAAAGACACTTTTTGCCCGTGTTATGAATATATTTTTTTGTCACATTGTATTATTGATTAACAAACTAAGCTATAAAATCAAAATATTTTCATGTAAAGATAAACAAAACTACTTAGACTACATGTTACGTTCAATTCCTCTAATGTAAATAAGCAGCTGTTTAGTAAGTGATTCGATCATTTCGTCTATTACGATTGTGTTAGTGTACAGTATACCATCAATATGTCGAACTATTGGCAAGAATGCAACAATAAGCTAAAACCTTACCTAATGAATCAATCGATAAATAATTTCGAAAATTTACAACTGTTTACAACAGTTGATTTTTACTCCCTAAAGGAATAAAAATGCTACCTTACTTTTAGACCTGTAAATAATTTATTTTAAAAAAAACTGTTGTTTTGCTGCAGTATGACCAAACAATATTTTCACCCTGGAACCTTTTTTTATAATAATTGGGTTGTTTGCTTCTTGTGTGAATGATTTTTTGTAAGATGGGTCAATTTTATTTTCGTCATGTGTAATGTTAATTTAAATTATTTCATTTTATTCATATAGGTAAAATGTTTTACATATGTTTTAGAGCTTAATACAGTTCTTATAATATCCTATAATCTATATTTTTAATACGCTACATGAACAGTTTGTTTCCGATAAGATTTTTTTTGTTTTGAGACTTAACTTCACATATTATACACCGAAACACGCGTCTAGGTTTGCAGATTTACTATCTGGCTTTAGATGTTTGATTCAAGACATAGGTTAAAAAAACACTTTGGTTAATTTGTTTCTTTAGTTTTATAATTTCACTTAAACCGTTTCCACTAAAACTAAATCAAGCCGTTTAAAATATAATAAATCGAATCTGGGCGTATTACAACACTTTTAAGAGTGAAGAGTTTTTTTTGTCTTTTTTTAGATGAGAAGGCTTTATTTTAAAAATTAAGAAATGTTGCTTGACAGAGATGGTGCGGCGTGGTGTTTGCAAAAGTATAACTTATTTATTTTAAACAGAATTTCTACGACCTTTGGTGTCAGGGTAACCATCCAACTGGGAAAAGAAAGAAGTATTTGCATTTTGATTACCCTACCGGAAAAAGGCTAGGAACTGTACGAATATTTTGTTTGGGAACAAAAAATGTTAAATTATTCATAAATGAACACGAAATCCCCCTTATTTGCATTATTTAACTAACTGAAATTATTCATTCATATAATAATGGGTTCAATGGTATTTTCATACAAAATCATACAGGTGTTCCACATTATTTTAACTCACCTAAAATTGATGACGTGATCCAACACAATGAGGGCAGCCAAGATCGAGATGATGTTTGAGGAGTGACGGGTGTTCCTCATACTGCCTCATCGCCACCCCCTCATCCCACCATCCATACATCCCTCATACGACACCTCACTGGCCGGCCGTTCAAATCACTGTCACTGCGTCACTGTGTCACTGATCACCACCGCCACACTGATCACTGCGATGCTTATCTGGTGATGTCGGGCCGCGGACTGAGGCGCTCGGGCGCTCGCCCCTCCGCCGGCCCTGGGCATCGCCGATTGGACGATTTCGTAGCCGTTCAGGTGATCGGGCAATCGGGTGTTTGGAGTAGAACAGAATATACTGGAGCAAACCCGTCGTCGCTTCACGAAAATTAAGTTAAATTATTTAACTTAATCATTTGGCTTTTTGGTTGTGAGTTGATGACACTTCTTGATTTGTTGATTCATTTAACTTTAAAAATTCTCAAACTACAAACCTAATGTAAATAATTTCATTTGTAATAAATATAACCAGCTGTTCCCTAATAGTGCAGATTCAAAAGTATTCATGTGTTTCAAATGTAAACAAATCTTTTCTACGTAAGGATAACATGGGGAATTTAAAAGCCACTGGGGCAGAGCCCTGATGGAATTTCTTGGAAATGCTTCTTATTGCACACCTAGAGGTTGATTGCCTCCATGCCAATTCCTGAGTTTTTATGGCTTGTAGTTTTTGGAGAAATAGTGATCAGTGAGTCAGTGAGGGGTATTTGACTTTTATAAGTACAGTATAGATTTAACTCCCGCATGAATCAGCTGAAGAAAATGTTGATCGTTCGTGTAGAGGATGTGTTCTAAATAGTTGATTGCTATTTTTAAAAAATCTATCTAATTATATACAATAGCTCGTCACTCTGGCATTATAACCAATAAGTTAAGCACTAATTTTCAACTTTATCCTTGATTGCATACAAACTGGTCCCGCTAAATAGTTGACATTATAGCGCTCGATATGGTTATTTCCATCAATATGCATAATAATTCATTAGCATCTGCTTCTAGTACAGATTTTAATAGAAGTTGTCATCATCTTGAAAAGACCCGAAAATCCTAGTATATGTAATATACTAAATTTCATTAAAATTTATCAAACTTAGCCATCATTAAAAATTGTGTGTGTCTAGTAAAAACATTTTATTACATTAGATCTTTAGCATAATCTTTCCCAAAGAAGATGTTCTAAACTCCTAAAAGCCTTAGAAAAAATCATTACCGTATTTTATGCATCCATCAAAATTAAACATAATTTGAAGAAGGCATTCCAATCACATGAAATCCAAGGGTAAGATCACACATCGAAAACACAAATTGGAAGAGAGGGGGTTACTACATAGATATTTTCATAAAATTTAATTCAAATATTAGTATGATTCCAAGTGGTATTACTTTCACATCGTAAAGTTTGCAACTTTAATTTCTATGATAAAAACAGCAGAACAAATCATCAGCTTGATCAAGCAAAATATATGTCTCCTAAACATTTCCTACAGCTCCACACATTTTAACCTCTTTTACGAGATTTCATTTGTCCAAGCGCTAATAATTTAACGTTGAAAGGTCATCTCGCTAATTCCTCCATGTTGGAGGGTCGCGGGGATAAATTTGCAAAGAATTTCAATAAAACGCTCAGTGTATACGCCGTATGTGAGGTTAAACCGGTTGTATTCTACATCAACTGGATTGCAGCCTGCGCTTCTTTAGAACGACTTGAAGTGTTTGTACAATTTGCATGTTGAAGTATACATTACACTCGTATACAACATATATTAGTGAAGCTGGATGTTTATGCAGGTGGGTGGTGTTTAACTTTCAGATTTGATTGTTTAATAAACAAATAGCTTATAATGTTTATTTGTTGGGTTGATTCATACGTGGAGGGCTTCGTTCATGATTTCACTATGAGTCTTGCTCGTACTGATGTGAGAAACATGATCCAATGCTCTTGAACTGTAAAATATTTGGGTAGTTGAGTTAGAGTTTCATCAGTAGTCAACAGCAGATTCAACCCTTAGAAAATTTGGAAGCACTAAAGCTGTTTGAAAGCGAGTCTACGCCTTCTGAATCGTTGAGATTTAAAAAATTGATTCTTGCTAAATGAATGTCCCTGTCTTGAGTTATCTCCAGGGAATAAAATTGTAACAATAGCAATCAAGCGTTTAGACCTGGTATATTAAACTGCATGTGCCTCTGATATCTTTATCTAACAATAGATATAGATTAACATGTATCCTGATAAAAATATTTTAGATTTTTGGAATCTCGAGATTTAAGGAACATTTTTGATAATTGGGTAGCTCATTTCAGTTCAAGGTGTAACTTTAAAAAATTAGAAATATTCAAATGATGTACACAACTGAACACTTTTGAACCAATAAAACACAATTCATAGTCAAAATGAAGTAAACCCCGGAAAAATAGAATAACGCTTGGTAAAACTAAAAGCATCGAAGCAATTTCTCTCGAACAGATTACAAACCTGCGCTTCCACACCATCTCTAGCCAGTTGATACATCACTGCTGCGCCACATCACAGCCATTTAGGCCCATTCAATCGCCCAGGGTGATTTCAGTTAATATCTCAAACACACAATTCATCCCGGGCTTTCTGTTACCACTTACCTTTGATGGATGACAGGTCCCAAAATATCGATTACACTTAGGTTAGACGCGACGCTTGTTAATCCGTAATAAAGTCACTCTACAGTGCCCAACGCTCATAAAATATGTAAAGGCTTTATGCAAATCGGCGTGTAATTTTATTCGAAAACGCTACGTTTCGAATCAATCACTCGATATGCACCGTCGCTGACGGCGACCCTAGTTTGGCGGGAGGACTTTCAATTTGAGCGGGAAACCGGCTCCGACGTGATTACGAGGGAAGGTGGAATACACGCCATTACGTTCACACAGTACTAATTGGGCTGAGATCTGACCACAAAAACCAACCCTAATCAAGTGCGGGTTTGGTTTTGGTCTGATAAATAGATGTTTGATGCCTAATGACGTAGGCGATCGGTCACTTGGTGATGTATGGGAGGGCGTAGTGGCTGCAGCTACCAGCTGATGTCTGTGTATTGATGGTCGGTAGCTGAGGGATATCATGTCCGTGACATCGCAATGTATCTAACATGTACCTGGACATCAATAAATATTACAGTTTCGTCTGTACACCGTGTAGATCATGAGTTTAAGTTTCAAAGTCGTGAAAGCAGTAACATGAAAATTTACGCACTATTTTAAGATTGACGTCTTAACCCTGAGTTAATTAAATTGGCTATAATGTGTTTGGCTATTTAACAGCCAGCAACTTGCCGTAACTACTGTCCCCGTCTATAAGCTGCTTAAGCCTGAGCTATTTATGTAAATTAAATTAAGTTTAAATACGTAGTGTGTGTTACGCCCGTATTATTCATGTATATCGGCTCAAAATTTCTTCCATAGAAATTCGGGTATTCTTACAGGTGTCATAGATTTGTTCTCTTATCTGAATGTTACAGCTTTATCCATTTTCCACTGACTTTTTAACTCTTATAAATTACATACATCACTAATTGGTGGGAACTTTTTCCATTACTACTAGTCTTTGGGTCTCCTGTCCATGTACCACTGATATTTGGGTCTTCCGTATACCATTGATGTTTGGGACTCCTATCCATATACCACTGATCTTTGGGTCTTTTATCCATACACTATTCATCTTTGGGTGCTCTACCCATTTATCACTAATCCAAATACCCTCTGTATATTCCTCTGTTTGATGAGTTTATCGAAACCCCATCAAATGGCTGTATTTTAATATGCTGTATTACATATATTAAATATTTTTTATCTAATAAAACAAAATCAATGTCACTTTTAAGATTAAATAAATGACAAATTCATTGAAAGTAGTTCGTTTTAATGCATTTAAAATTAGAATAAACTACATTTTAACGGATTTTTCTAATTGCTTATCATTAAGAAAACAGTAAAGACAGCTCATTTTACAAGCTAACCACGGTTCGACTGAGTAATTATTTTCAATCTCACAAGTTTTTATCAGTTTCATCTGAATGAGGTGTTAGTTCCTAGATCGTTTTTCACTTCGCTCTATTTTTCAACAGCTTCGAATTGGAAAGGAGAAAGCTGGTCTAGTTTATCAAAATAGAGACAATTATGTAACAAATTGTTTAATACGTGAACCTGTTAATACCTTGTCATAATTTGATGCTGCAATAGAACTGAATTAAATATGTTAAATTAAGATAACGTCAGTGTCGTTGATTATGTGTAGCAGTCGTTTCGGATGGGTGGCAGCAATCTACCTTCAGGAAAACTACAATTCAGCTGAAGAAGTCGGTCAATATCTTCGCCAAAATTCTTAGTTGAGATTTTAGTTTGTTCAAAATATGGATTGTCACAGTCTTAAACGTCAGAGTTGTTAAATTAACGCAGTCTTCTCTCTTCCAAGATTCCAAGAATTCAAGAATTCAAGATTCCAATAATATAGATCTTGATTTGTCAGAATATTCTCCTAACCTCCCAACACCCCTCAATAACTCGTCACATATCTCAACATCTAATCCGTCTCCCTGTTGGGTTGTTGACAGCCCAAGAAGCTGTTTACAAAGTGTGTCACTAGTCGCAACATTGGGTGTGTGAATGGGTCACAGCAGGGGATCGAACCCGGGACCTCCCCCGCTGAGTTTCCGACCGAAATTAGCGGTCTTTGCCGCAGCTGATTGCTCCGACAGATGCTGTAGACGTCTTTGAGATGCAAAACGGTTCGGGTTTCTATACATGTTTGGACATTCTGAGTGGCTGTTGAGTCTATAACTATAAGTTAAAGACGTGTTACTTATTTGACATAAAATGGTGGTGGCCTTTTTTGAATCCTTTACCGGCTATGCCACCGAATTACCTAAACTTTGCAGTATAAGTTTCTTTCTTTTTAAAGTATACTTATAACTTAACCGGGCTATTAAATGAATTTATGAAGTACCATGTAAACATTTTCCTCATACACTGGACAATCTTTTAACTCTTTGCTGATTCAATGAGCGGCCGATCACCATAAAAAAAACTTTAATCGCGTTAACTAATTTTTCAGAGTAAAACTACAGAGTACATCGATAGCACCGAGGTATACCTGACTTACGAGCTATAATGTGATAAAAAGGAGAGAATTTATAAAATTGTGTGTCGTAAAACGTGTATCTATATCGC